ATTATAAAATATAATATAGAGCTAAAAATAAATATATACTAATATAGGAAAAAAAATAAATTCTATTACAATATCTTGATAAGTATTTCTTATATATTGAACTGTTCTGTTAATATTGTCTGGTTCGAAGTTGTTAGATAGAGAAATTTTATCTTTTGCTAATGATGTATTTTTAATTTTGTATTGTGTGAAGAAAAATTTTGTTGATTTTTCTCCTTCTTTTATCTATTTAGTATTGGATCTAAGTTGACATTTCTCAGAAAAAGTATGAAGCTTGTCCTGAAGTTGTATGCTAAGGCCTTCTTTTGCTTTAAGGAGGTACTTTGAGCTTTCCTCTTTAGCCAATTTGTTGTTTAGTTTAGTTAGTTCTTTTTGAAGCTTTTGTATTTTCTTCTTTAGTACAGAAAGAGGCCTAAAGGCTTTGATTATTGCTGTATTCTGCATTTAGATAAATCACATTTTGAGAAGTCTGCAAAGTTCTTTATCTTCTCAACTACTTTTGTTTTTAATTGTTTATTATGCCAGCAATTTCTGTTAAATCTTCATTGTTTGGCTCTAGGTGACTCAAATATAAAGTTTAGTTCACATTCTATCATTAGATGATCAGAGTTGCCAAACTGTATAGTAGTATATTTACAGTATTGGCTGTAATTGGCATTAATAAAGATGTAATCAAGCCTTGTAGCCATACTACGATTTCCTCATGTGTTCTGGTGATAAGTAAGAAAAAGTTCCTAGTTGTTTAATAGTGATGCTGTATCGATCAGATCTGATATAATTTCTTTTAATAATTTTCTTAAAGGATCATTAGCAATTGGTGCATGGCTAATGCGATCTTTTTGTGAATTCAGATTTGTATTTAAGTCACCTGCTACTATGTTAATGTGTTTCTCATTAAGTTGCAGATTCCAATTATTAAAAAATCATACTCTGTCTTCTGTGTTTGAAGGAGCAAATATGTTGTTTAATTAAAAAGAGTATTGTTTGTGTATGAGGTTTGCTAATATTACTCGTCTATGATGGGATTCTTTAATATTTTCCAGCTTTAAATCATGGTTTTCTGTAAGTATTGCTGTTTTGAAGGTCCAGTAAGAGTCAAACCCCCATATTTGTTTTAAAAAGTTTCTTGTATAGATATTTTCTAAGTTTTCTGAATCATAATTATGTCTAAGTAGTATGATTTTAATAGTGTAAGTGTTTTGTATGCTTTTTTTTTGTTGTTCAGTCCTTTGACATTTAGTGATGCAATTTTGATTTTTTTAATCATTAAAAAATAATTTAAAAAAGTAGAAGTTGAGATTATGCCTATTGCAATCCTCTGGCTTTTGTATAGGAAGCAGATGTTTCTAGAACTGTAGTTCTTCCCACTTTTGGGATTGTGATTCTGCTTTTATTTCTATGCTTTTTTCTGGAAACTACTGTAAAACCTTGTTTGTTCTCTTTATCTATAGGATTAGTATTGTTTGCCTATACATTGTTGTACAGACTTGCAAATGAGTCCACTGGTACATTTTTATGTTCTATATTTGGCTTGTTCTCAGTTGATTCTATTTGATGTTCTAATTGACTTTCTTGTTTATTGTTGCTTGTTAACATCTCTATGTCTGATGTTGTTTCATTTTGCATTACGATGTTTACATCTTTTGTATTCATTGTTTCAAGTTTCTCCATGGAGTTGTTCATAGTATTTTTGTTTTTTAGTTCCTTGTTTGCATAGAGATTTTCTAAACTAAATTCAAAAGGTTCCTCTATGCATTGTTGAAGCTGAATTTTTTCTTGTTTCTTTTGTTCTTTTCACAGTTTGTATAGGTTTCTAGCCTCAACTAAGAGTTTGTAGTCTGGGCAGTCTTTTTTTATATGACCTGCTTTGTCACAGAAGAAGCACATCTTTGGGGCTTTTCTCTAGTTAGTAGTGACTCTGTGGTCCCAAACATGTGTAAATCTAGGAATTCGATTTGTCAAATCTGGATCATCTGTTATTTCAAAGATTACAACCCACTGGTTTGACATTATAGAAGTTCCTTTGTGGATCAGTGGTTTGATCGATGAGATTATGCCAATATCTTGGAATGCTTTTCTAATCTGCTCTGAAATAAATTTCTTTTTTTTCATTGGTGCATTTTGAATTCTGACTGATAGGAAGTTGCATCTGATGTTTATAGGAATATATTCTTGTAAGATTTGTTTAAAGATAGTAACACCTTCAGCTGCATATTGCTGTTGTTTGTTTTTATCTGAAAACACAACCTCTAAATGGATTCTTTTGTTTTTGTTAATTACTGGCCAGGCTGCAACCAGGTCTTCTCCCATTTCTTGTTCCAAAACTTTTATGATTCTTGTAGTAGAGATGTTTTCTAAACTAAATAATTTAAAGATTAGTGCATTTTTATTTTTGGTAATAATTCTTTTTTGTAGAGAATAGGTAGAATATGTGGCTTTCCCTCTTTCCAATTTTGAGAAAAGATCAGACCACTGTTTCAGTTTGGTTTGTTTATCCTAGACTTCTGATTGGTTGTTTACATGATTGGATGTAGGCATCTCACATGTTGTTTGTTTTGTTTGTTCATCTGAAATTTGATCCTTATTGCTCAAAGAAGCAACTAAAGACAAGTCTTCTTCTTCAAGTTTTGCTGTTTTATTCTTCTGGCCTTTAGGAGTTTCTATAGTGACCTCTGGCATATTTTCTTTTTCCTGTTTTTTCTTAGTAATAAGACTATCAGACCTGTTGTTTTCTTCTTGTTTTATTTTTTTGTTTACATCATCGAAGCCAAGACTAAACTTTTCTTTAAGGCTTGCGATTTTGGTTTTTTTATTTTAGTAACTTGTTGATACTAAACTAGACATAGTTAAACAAGCTTGTTTTCTTTTTCTGTGCACAAGGGTTTTAGCCCTTGTGTTGTTTTTAGTAGATTTTTTTAATAAAGGTTTAATAGTTTTTGTTTATTTTGTTCTTCACTACTGAATATAGATGGAGAGAGAGGGAGTTTATATTTATCTATTTTTATCCTCTTCTGTTGCAAACATGACTGTTGCTGTTCTTCTTTGGTTTTCATTTCTATTTGGAGGTATATGAACTGACTTTATTTCCTTGTTCTTTAAACTTTGTAGTAATAGGACTTCTGAGGCATTTCTAGGTAATTCTGTCAGTTTTGCTATATAATTTCTTTGTCTTTCTCTAGCTTCATAGTCTTCAATTTCTTTAGTCACTCATACTAGTTTGTTACTATTCACTGGTATGGCCCATAGAATGTTTTCATATGTTTCTTCTGTCTTAACTACTGCTAAGGCCTTATATTTTGATCTTTTAATTCTTACTATATAGGCTTTTCTGAATCTTTTACAGATATATTCTACTTTTTTTTTGTTTATATTTGTTGATAAATCCCAAATCATCAAATAATTCTTGTCTTCAGATTCTTCATTTATTTCATATTGGTTTTCATTTGTTTTGGTTTCATTCTCTTTTCATTTCTTTTTTCTTCTTTAGTTCTCATTTTGCTATTACTTCTCTTTTGATATTTCTTATTGTGTTGTATCTGCTTCTTCATGCTGCCTTCTTTTTCTTCAGGTATCATTCTGTACTAGTCACTTTCTTTTTTGCTAATTCTTTGTATTGCTGCACTTCTGCCATATTCACAGTCAAAATCTACTTTTATTCATAAGTTTTCTCTTTTGAAAACTTCTTTAATATCTTTAATATATATATTGTTTCTTAATAACTATCTAATAAATTTCATATGCTCTTCTTTTGTTTTTTCTGGTACATTGTATGCTGGTATATTCACAAGCAAACTGTTGTCTTGGTTGCAGTTTCTTTTGCTTGGAGCCCATATACTTTCTTCTAGGGGTTCTTTGACTATATCAATTTCTTTTTTGATTTCTATTCCGATAGCTTCTTGTTTTTGCTTTTTCTTTTCTTCCTAGTTTTTGTTTGCTTCTATTAACTATTAATGTACCTCTTCCTGTTTGTCTTGTATTTGTTTTATTATAGGTTCTTTTACTATAATATTTTTGTCTTGTTTTGTAATATTGATTTTCTTATCTGACTGTTCTTCTTCTGCTTTCTTGATTATTTCTCTTGTTATACACAGTAAGACAACTTCTAATGCATTTTGTTCTGTTAACATAGCTACAATCTCATCTTCTCTGTCTGGTGTTAGAATAATTTTACTAGCTTGGTTAAAAAACACCTTGTTGTGTATGCCATTTGCTGCCCAATATGCTCTTTTGATATAAGTTGTTATTAGGCTTTCTTTCTGATTTTGTATGCTACTTATATTTTGCTTAGTTATTAGTGGCTCCTATTACTATTTATTCTAGCACTTTCTATATCTTATGCCTATTACTATTCAAATTGGATTTGTTTGTATGTTTGTCAATACATGTGTCTGTTTGTTTATCTATTCACATGTTGCTGTGATCTACAGATTGATGTTTCCAAGTTACAGAGAATTTCCTAAATTTCACTTTTCCAAATATCAACTAGGATATCTTCTTCTCTATCTTTTCTATAAGCTTTCTAATTTTCTACTTTTACCTCTTGTTATATCTTTTTTCACAAGCTTTATCTTTTTTCTTAAGCCTGTAAGGTTGGTTTTGACAGCTGTTTTTTAGCAAACTTCTAAAATATTTTTCTACAGTTTTGTGTATAAGTGATCAGCGAAGAGAGTTTTTTATATATTTTACTAATTATATGTTAATTTTTATATTATTTATAGTATTTTTATAATAATAACTATACTTTTTAAATTAAATAAGTTCAAAGACAGAATATTGCAACAAAAATATTATCAAGCAAATCAAATAAGAATATTAAAACTATAAGTCTTTATAAATTTACAAATTTAATTTGGTTATTTAGTTTAAATAATGCTCAAGAATTTATTGACAAACATTTAATAAATTATAATTCAAATTCTAAAATATATTTTAAACTTAATAATTTATTAAAATATTTAAATATATATTTTAATACAATAGATCTAATGAGTTTAGATTATTATATTATTAAAATATATAGTTCAATAATTTTGAAAAATAGATCTATAATTTGAGCAACAGATAATTTTTATGAAAAAGCTTAATATAGTAATATAGCAGTTGCTATGAATTCTAAAAAACTATTTGAATATTTATCAGATTAAGAAATTTGTTATGAATAAATATTTTTTAATATATTTTAAATTTTTAAATTTTTTAAAAAATTAACTTAAATTTTTAATATTTAATTTAGATATATTTATTAGGCAATTACTAATTGTACATGCATATACAAACACAGTTATTATATAGTATGCTACTTATATGATTATATACTAAAAATAATATATTATATATATAATATATATACAATTATACTGTATATATACAAAACTTACAAGTATTAGACCTGTACACAGATCTCAGAATCCTACATAACTCTAGTATGACCAATCAAATTTTGAAACCAGATATAATATAAACAATTAAAGCAAGCCTATTTTTTTGCAAAAAAAACTGAATAACTTGAAATTTCAATTAAGAAATCATCTTCTGCAGTCTAATTAAAAATGTTTCTTGTAAAATTTACTAATAGTTCCAACCTTAATTCTATACTGTTCTTACTTTATCCCTAACAAAAATGCAAGTTTATTCTTATAAAGTAACCAATTTTTGTAAGTATGCTATCTAAGTCATCAGATGCTAATTTTAAATTCTATAGTATAGACCTAAGTTTAGTATATACATATTTAAGGTATAGGTCCCATAGCTTAGCGGTTAAGCTCCCATGCCCCCACAGTCAAGGTCAACGGTTCAAGTCCGGCTGGAGACAAAATTAAA